CCCTGGGTAGAGTGCTATGGCTTCACTGCTCACAGCAAACTCCAACTCCTGGGCTCAAGTGAGTCTCCTGCCTCAGCCTCCCAAGTAACTGGGACCACGGGTGCCTGCCACAACGCCCGGCTATTTTTTGGTTACAGCCATCATTGTTGTTTGGCAGGCCGGGGCTGGATTCGAACTTGCCACCTTAGGTGTATGTGGCTGGTGCCTTAGCCACTTGAGCCACAGGCGCCAGGCCAAGGTCTTGAGTTTCAGTTGACGAAGGATTGAGTGTTGTGTGGCATCATAGCTCACAGCAACCTCAACCTCTTGGGCTCAAGAGATCCTCTTGCCTCAGCCTCCCAAATAGCTGGGAGTCTATAGACCCTCCTCAACACCTGGCTATTTTTAGAGATGGGGGTCTCACTCTTGCTCAGGCTGGTCTCAAATTCCTGAGCTTGAGCTATCCACCCATCTTGGCCTCCCAGACTTCTAGGATTACAGGTGAGAGCCACCGTGCCCTTCCTCAGTCTCTATATATAAATATTTTTTTTTTGAGACAGTCTCAAGCTATCCCCCCAGGTAGAGTGATGTGGCGTCACAGCTCACAGCAACCTCAAACTCTTGGGCTTAAGCAATTCTCTTGCCTCAGCCTCCTGAGTAGCTGGACTACAGGCGCCCACCACAACGCCCAGCTATTTTTTGGTTGCAGTTGTCATTGTTTGACAGGCCCGGGCTGGATTCGAACCCTCCAGCTCTGGTGCATGTGCCTAGCACCCTGGAGACTGAGCTACAGGCGCAGAGCCTTAAATAAATACATTTTTAAAAGAGGCAAAAAAGAATAGTTCATTAGAGGGAAGGGCAAGTGTAAAGGTCAGGAGGCTGAACTCCGAGGGACAGGTTCTTTCCACACTTGCAATAGAGGCCTCCTGTCCCCTCCCCCACTTCCCATGTGTGGAAATCAAATCTCGGTGAATTTAAGCAACTTGCCTATGGCCCCACTGCCAGGGTCTAGATGTCACTGGCTTTGGAACCTCCTGAGCTTGTTCCCTATTCATGGTTGGCTCAGGCTTCCTGCGCCCTGTTGACCTCGGGTCGCGGGTCATTTCTGGTTCCCCTCAGCCCCAGCTCATGTGTTGCCTGCGGCCAAGCCCAAGGCTGCTGCCACCACCCACACGGCCTTATCTCTCAGCTTTATTTCACCGGCTCTGCCTCCTGACCCCTACACCCCACCAAGCCCTAGCCTTTGCCCAGATGCCCTCTTCTCCCAGTAATAGGTTTGGCCCCTGAGAGTGCCTCAGCGCCAGAAAGAACCCCTGGGCTGGCCTAGGCTGGCCCGTAAGCAGGTCCCCAGACTTGGGGCTTTTGGTGTGGCCGCTGACACTCAGCAGTGCGCCCCAGAGGATCGGGGTGCGCCAGGAGTGTGGGCAGATGCGTGGGGCCAGAGCATCTTGGATAAAAGAGGGGACCCAGGACACACAGCAGACAGGGTTACCGCCGGGGGCCAGACCGAGCGCGCAGCAGACTACACTGGGTTCAAAGGCGAGAGATTAAGGCGCAGAGCCGAGACGCTCGGATTGACCTGAGCTAGGCTCACCGCCGGAGGGACTGGGCGGGAAGGGGAGGGTCTCAGAGAGGCTGGGCGGGGTTCGGGGAGGGGCCTGGTAGCGCCCGGAGAATTCCGAGCCCGGCCCTGCCTCCGCCCCTCCAGGGCCCTCCCCCGGACCCGCCCCGCGCCCCCCTTTCTCCAGCCTTCTTTCCCCGGCTGGGGGCCGGGGCAGGGCCGGGAGCAGAGTCCGGCTGTCTGCCGCCGGCTGCGCCTGTTTTCTGCTCCTTTGGGTCCGCCGCTAGGCGTGCGGTCCTCCGCCCCACCGCCGGCCCTCGGTGCGCCTGGCAGCCGTGTGGTCCACAGGTAAGCTAGCTTCCTCCACTCCGATCGCCACCCTCGCTGCGGGCTTGGGCCCCGCCTCCGCGGCCCTGGTGGCCACAGCCCGGCCCCTAGACGCAGCCGGGCTCCGGCCCCTATCATCCTGCTGGACTGCCCTATTGGGATTTTCTCCATATGGCTGCGGGCCTGGACCTCCCACCCGAGAGAGCCCCACTCCCCGAGGGCCAGGGCGCCGCCGCGGTGCCCGAGAACGCAGCTGTGAAACGGACGGGAGCGAGTGGGGATGATCCCAGCCCCGTGACCCGGGGGAATCCGGATGTGTAGACGGGCGGAGGCTCCCCGGAGCCCCACCGGACTGTGCGGTGGCCGCTAGCGAGTCAGTGCGGGGCACCTACTGGCGCCACAGACGTGCTGGGGCTGGGAACGCAGCCGGGGCCCCTGGCCTGGGAATACGCAACCCGGTCGACCGCTTAAACAAAAAACCACGTCATTCCAGCCCCGGCTAGCTGAGCGCTAGGAAGACGACGCATCAGGCAGCTCAGGGAGGCGTTCTCCAAGAAGGTGTCACCCTGGTGTGAGCGCAGCAGCTAGCGAGGGCATGTTAGGCCCAGGAAAAGGCAAGATGCAGGGGCAGGGCCCAGCCTGGAGTGTTTGCCGAGCAGAAAAGAGGCCAGCGTGGAAGAGGGGATCGGAGTTGGGGAGGGCTTAGCCAGAGAGGGGAAGGTGGTGAGGAGTGTGTGGAATCCATTCTCAAGGCGGTGGGGACCAGGAAGGCTTGAAACCAGACAGTGGCATAATCCGATTTGTGTCTTAAGAAGATGATCCTGTATCCACTGTGGGTAGAAGATTTGGAAAGAGGCTGCTGGCCTGGATCCTGCTGCAGCCTGTAATAGGAAGAGGGCAAACTGGGGATTCACTTTGGCAGAAGAACATCAGTTAGTTCCCTGGCTGCTTGCAAGTGGGGCATGAGGGAAAGTGTACGGAAGTTTTTGTCCTGGGTTGCCAGGAATATAGAAAGACCTTTATTGCTGTCTTGGGGAGTCTGCCTTGCAAAACCTGTGAGATACGGTGAGATTGGGGGAAAAGGCTCCCAAAGTACCCAGTCTGAGCCACAGTGAGGTCCCAGGTATCTGAGCACAGGGACCAGGGTGGCCCCCCAGGGGCAACCTCAACCCATTGTGTGGGGCTCACCCCCTCCCCCAGGATAGAAATCCTAGACTGTGAAGTTGTCTTTGAAGCCTTTAGCCTACCCAGCCTCAAATTGCTCCCCTTCCAGGAGCAGCTGTTCTGAATAAATATGGGGTAGGGAAGTGCTACTAGGCGCTTCATACAGTACACCTGGGCCCCCCAGGAGGCCCAAACAGGCTGAATGCAAATAAGCTGGGTGGCTTCATTACTGAACTGACCTTGGAGCATCAAGGAAAAGTTTCTTTCTGAGCTTCAGTTTGCATCTGTAAAATGGGTTAGTAGTAGCTGTCCCATTTCAGGGGCCTGGGGCCTTTCTTTCCTCCTCTGAGAAATTCAGAACAGCACCCACCTCCCAGCCCAGAGTTGTCTGCAGGTCCAGTAAAGGGAAAGACTGGCCCAGCGCCTGGCCCAGGGTGAGCACTGAGTACAGGAGCCACCAGGATGACTCTTTAGCAGCAGGAATGGGCCAAGGTCCCCTCATCTCACTCATGGGACACAGCAGGCAGGCACCATGGTGCACATGGCCCTGGCCCCCTTTTATCTGGGCACTACAGGCTGTTCCTTTTACCACTGCCTGGGCTCTAACCCTGTCCTTCCAGCTTGAGTTCAGTGCCTTGGGGTGAGTGACTTGCTTCCTAGTGCTTTCAGTTTTTTCACCTGGGAAATGAATGCCCAGCTGGGAGTAAGCACTTGGTAGCAGAGGTCACTAAAACTATCACAGAACCCAGCGCCTAGTGAAGTAAGCTGGGGAGAAGTCTGTAAGGCCTCCTGGGGGAGGTGACCATTGGCTGGGTTGCTAAGGGTGAGTAAGGGGTTAACCAGGTGTGCAAAATTGCCAAGGAGAGGCTTGGCATCTGTAGTTCAGTGGCCAGGGCACCAGCCACATACACCAGAGCTAGTGGATTAGAACCCAGTCCAGGGCCTGCCAAACAATAATTACAACTGCAACCAAAAAATAGGTGGGCATTGTGGCAGATGCCTGTAGTCCCAGCTACTTGGGAGGTTGAGGCAAGAGAATCTCTTAAGCCCAAGAGTTTGAGGTTGCGGTGAGTTGTGATGTAACAGCACTCTACCAGGGGTGACATAGTGAGACTCTGTCTCAAAAAAAAAAAAAAAATGCCAGGGAGAGAAACTTCTGGGTGCTTGGAGGAACTTCTAGAAGGAATGATGAGGCTAGGGTGGTGAGGTCCAGAGATGGGAGAGGGGAAGGGGCAGAGCCAGCCTGTTGGCCTCAAACAGGATATTTGGGTTATTCTGAGCCCTCAGGGTTGAGGACAGAGTTAAAGTACCAGAGAGGAGGGGCTGCACTGGTCCAAGTGAGGAATAGCTGATGGCCTAGATGAGGTGATGATATGGATGGGTGAGATGTGGGTGGATCTTGGAGAGGTATGAGTTACCATGGACTGGGATTAGCCTTTGGAAATTGGGATGCTACTATCCACGTGAGTGAGCTAGACACTTCATCCAGGTGAAAGAAGTGTGGTACAGGACAAGCATTGCAGTAGCAAGACTAGGGAAGCTTAGGAGGTAGTAGAGAGAGAGTAGGAGAAAACTAGGATTGGGCTGCAAGCCATGAGCACAGGGAACAAGGCGAATGACTCCTGTACGGATCTCTGAATCTTCTGCTTGGCTAACTCAGGGGCAGAGGTCCTGTTCTGTCATGTGGCTGTCTCTCCCCTCCCCAGGCCCTTCAGCATGAGCTTTCTTTCCACCTTTGAGTAGTCCCCTCAGCCCCAGCCTGGATCTGACCAGAGCAGCATAGAGGAGGCCTTTTCCCTCCCTCAGTATGGACTCTATACCTTTGTTAAGATGATGCTGTTACTCACATTGAACTTAACAGAGCTCAGCTCTGCTTTCACCCCCTACCCCTTCCTGGACTCCTAAAGCCAAAGTTTGGTCTAGGGTCCTACAATAGTATGTCTAAAGAAGGATCATGTCCTACTGGCCATGCCCTGGGGACCACCCCCACCATACCTTGTGCTTAGCCCTGCCTCCCTTCTGCCCCTGTCTGTCTGTCTGTCTCTCATTTGTTCATTCAACACACACTTAGGAAGTATCTGCATTGGGGACACTGGGTCTAGAAGTGAACCACATGAAGCTTCATGGAACTGATGTCCCCTGGGGAGAGTGGGGGACAAGAACAGGGATGAGGCCCAAACAATGAAAAGAGGCCGGCCGGGTAGACATTCAGAAGAGGGGCCAGCATGTGCAAAGGCTCTGCGGCTAGAACAAACATGGCATGTGGGAGGCAAGGCAAGGAGTCCAGGGTTACCAAGGCAGAGTTAGCGGGGCTAGTGGGGGAAGAGAGACAGGTAGTTGCAGAGGCCAAGGGACCTCAGGGCACCTCCACTTCAACAACAGCAGACCCTCGAGGGTCCTTTCTTTTTATTTTTAGCAGCAGAGGCTCACTCTGTCACCCAGGCTGGAGGGCAATTGTGTGATCATAATTCACTGCACCTTAAATGCCTGGACTCAAGTGACCCTCCTCCCTCAGCTTCCTGAGTAGCTAGGACTATAGGTCCACACTACCACTCCTGGCTACTTTTAAGAAAATTTTTATAGAGAAGAGGGGGGTGATGGGGCAGGGACGAAGAGGAACAGGAGGTGGAGGAGGTGCTGGTAGCAGCTGGGTGGGCACAGACCTGGGCGGCAGTGCCCGCATGTCCTCAGAGCCCTAAGCTGATGCACAGAGGTTAGGAGGCTCATCTAGGCCAGGAGGACAAACAGCAAAAGCCAAGCAGGTGTGCTTTGAGGATAGCCCATCCACCAGTCTGCGCTCACCTCCTTCCCAGGTAGAGGAGAAAGGATTTGGCCACCCTCCCTGTACCCTACATGGACAAGACCTGAGTCACCCTTCCTGCCCTGCTACTGATATGAACATGCCCCCCCAATCCCTGTGGCTTTGCTCAAATGCTGTAACCTAGATCAGAGGTTCTGCCAAAACCAGAAAACTATGACCAGGACTGCCACCTCCATCCACATTCAAATTGTGGGTAGGTGGCCCTTGGCCCTGGTTCTGCTCTGTGATCCTGGTGGGTACACTGGGGACACAGCTGGGGCAGAGGCATAGGGGCTGTACTGTTGGGAGTTGGCACACAGATGGTGACTTGGGGTGACAGGGTACTGTTCTGCATCAGAGATGGTGCAGGTAGGTCTACTGCCCTCACCTCTTCCTGCTCTCTCTTCTCTGGTCCAGCCACACAGGCCTCATCTCTGTGCCTTGAATGCAGCATGCATGGCCTTGCCTCAGAGCCTTTGCACCATCAGTTTCCTCTTTTGAGAATGTTCTATCCCCCTACCCTCCTCCCTTACCTTCTTACCTTCTCAGGGAGGCCTTCCTGATCTCATTTAAAAGATGCAGCCCCTCCCAACTATCTAGTTACTTATTCCCTTGTTTAATTTATTTTTCTCTCCATATGGGTGGTTACCACCTGATATAACAGAACAAACAAATTTACAAAATATAGAGTCTTTGCTGTCCCCCTGTCTCCATCTCATCCAGAACATCAGCTCTGTGGGCATGGGAATCCTTGTTTACTCTGTCCCTTGCTGGGAACCCAATATGAAGCTGGCATGCAATAGGTGCCCAATAAATGTTTGTGAGATGGTGATAGCATCTCGGTACTCCTGGCTATGGCTTGGCTTGGTAGGGACGGAGTTTGGGTGGGTGGGGGAATTGAATGTGGCGGTTAAAGGGCAGATTCTGTCTGGGCGAATCTGTAATCCTAGTACTCTGGGAGACTGAGGCAGGAGGCTCAGTTGAGCTCAGGAGTTTGAGACCAGACTAAGCAAGAACAAGACCCCACCTCTACTAAAAATGGAAAAATTAGGCAAGCATGGTAGTGGGCACCTATAGTCTCAGCTACTCAAGAGGCGGAGGCAGGAGGATCCCTTGAGCCCACGAGTTATAGGCTGCAGAGAGCTGTGATAACACCCCTATAGCCTGGAAGACAGAGTGAGACCATGTCTCAAAAAAGAAGCCGGGCACTGTGGCTCATGCCTGTAAACCTAGCACTCTGGGAGGGCAAGGCAGATGGATTGCCCGAGCTCACAGGTTCAAGTCCAGCAAGAGCAAGACTCCTTCTCTAAAAATAACCAGACGTCGTGGCAGGCACCTGTAGTCCCAGCTCCTCGGGAGGCTAAGACAAGAGAATTGCTTAAGCCCAGGAGTACTGAGCTATGAGTACTCTATCAGTACTCTATCCAGGGTGTCTTTAAATAAATAATAAGACAGTTTCTGGAAACAGCCTTGAATTCAAGTCCCAGCTCTCCACTTCTTACTTTATGACCTTGGGTAACTCAGTGCCTCAATTTCCCCAGTTGCAAAATGCAGGTGACAGAAGCACTGGGCACTTAATATCTCTTGTGATTATAGCTCCCTGGGGACTTAGCCAGTGACTGGAAGGAGTCAGAAGTCTAGGTTTATCTGAAGTCTCTGCAAACGCAGATGCTGAGGCAAGACATTTAGGGCTTTCTTATATATTCCTGAAATTTTCCAGAAACATGATGGGAGCAAGAAGAGTTAATTTATTTAAGGAAGTCCAGGGCTCCCTGAAAAGATGACGTTTGAGCTGTGGCCTGAGTCAGAGCCAGTGATGGGCTGAGACTGGAATAGGACATATTACTTATGCTCTAGGACCCCTACCCCCAACCAGTGAGGAACAGACATGTCCCTAGGAAGTTACAAAGTGGCAGAGTAACCCAGGCACAATGGAGAAACCATAGTCCCTAGGGGTGAGAAGAGGTCCCTGGCACAGCCTGGGAGTCCTAGAGTGCTTCATGGAAGTAGCACCAGGCAAGCTGCTCACTTGAATGGTGAGTCTGACTCAGATGAAAGGACCAGCCCAGGAGAAGACCTGGCATCTTGCATCAGAGTGATGTTTCTCAGCTTTGAACAGACCCTGGCAAGCCATCTGTGGACCTCCCCCGCACAGCCAAGAATCTCAGGGTGCCTCTCCAGAGATCTGGAGCAGGGGAAGGAACAGGCTTGTACTGTAAACCACTGCAGAGAGAGGGTTGGGCGGCAGGTGGGGGAAGAGCCTCTTCCTCACTGCCCTCCATCTGTGTGGATTGGAGAGGAGGGACAGCCCCTCTACAGTGGTTGGAGAAGAAGCACTTTGCCTTGGGTTATACAAGCACCTCTGGTCTTTAAGGACCCATGGGTGGCCTTGGCATCCCCACAGGGGGCCCCTCTGTGTGCCACCCCATTGAGCCCAGAACCCTAGCCTACATCATCTAACATAGAGGGCTGAGGATAGTTGTTGTGGGGTGACCTCTAGGGACAGCACTTCCCTCAAAGTCTGAAGTCCCAAGGGCAGCCCATGGGCCAGAAGAGCACACAGCATTGCCTCCTCTCAGGATCTCTGCCTCTTTCACTTAACATCAAGACCAAAGACTCCCATGGCTGCTGCTGTGTCTTTAAAGCCATGGTGACAGGCTCTTGCCAACCTCCCCCTGGCCCAGGAGCACCTGGGACCCAGGCTGGCAGCCTTGCTAACTTCAGGGACCGGCTGTTACTGAACTTTGTTTTGTTTTCATTGTTTTTATGGCTGCTGTCTGTACACGACACTAATGCTGGCTGCCCTTTATGGGAAGGGGGTCAAGTCTCCTCTGAAAATAAATATATTTAAAGAAAAAAAAACAACAACATGAGCATTTTGAAGGATAGAGGTGGGTGCACAAATGGCACAGGTGGATGAGGGATGAGAGAGTCATGATTGTGGACACACTGGGAAGGCCTCAATCTGAGCCTAAGCTGTTCTCGGACACCCTGGGTTCCTGGGCCTCAGTTGAACCCTCATTCATTCATCTGTTCAGTGGACAGCTGCTGGGGACCCATCATGTGTTAAGAGCTGGGAAAATGGAGAGGTCCCCATCACCAGGATACTGGGGAAAACAGGGTAAGAAAGCCCAGGGAGGGAGCCCCCTAACCCAGCCTACGGGCAACTGGCAGGAATTCTAAAGATATAAATAGAGAGCAGAGTCTCCAGAACTAGAACAAATTACCAGTAGGGGGGAGTGGCATATGCAAAGGCCTAGGGGCATGCTGGACAGCACAGTACTGGGCTGATGGGAGCACTTTCAGGATTTAAAGCTGAGGATCTAATTTGTGGATTAGAAGGAAATCCTGGATGCCGATGGGGAGAGGCAGCTTTGGCAAGATGATTCAGCCAAGAGACCATGGCAATGGGAGGAGGCAGGGAAAATGGATGCAATCACAGGACTTGGTGAGTGGCCCTTTCACAGGAATGTGAAAACAGATTTCTGTCTTCAAAGATGGGGTGGATGGTGGGATCTTAGCCAAGATGCCATGGGATAGAAGGAAGCAGGCTCAATGGGGGATGACTCCAGCATGACAAGTCTGAGCAAGGCACTGCTGGGTGGTATTAGATAAGTAGATTTGGCCTTGAAGAGAGAGCCCTGGGAGGAGCAAGAATTTGACCATGGACATGCTGAATGTGGCCTCAGAGGAGGAGAATTTTCCAGGGAGAGCAGCTGGCACAAGAGGATCAAGGACCAATATTGTTTAGGGCTAAAAGGGAAGAAAATCAGCCCAAATTGGAGACAACAGTGGGGGGGCCACAGATGCTAGGGGGGCCATGGATTTTTGCACATGGAATTAGCCACAGGAGGGTGTCACTGGTGACCAAAGGGCAAAGGCCAAAGTGATAAGTTGGGGGAGGGGGAGAGGTAGGTGTAAGGGAGAAGCATGAAGACATTCCTGCTTTCCAAGAATGCTGAGGCCACTGCTGATGCAGAATTTCTCTGAGCTTGTGTTCATCTGAAACACTCAGGGGTGTAGAGCTGGAGTCAGCCTGGCCATTTACCATCTATGTAACCCTGGGTGGATGATTCAGTGTCTCTGAGACTCAGTTCATCTGTGAAGTGGGAATGATAACAGCATCTTGATCAGAGTGTGTCTGACATTTCTGATGGGAAAGGGAATTATGGGCTGCCCTTGGACAAGCATCTGATGGCCAATTCTTGGGATGGTACCAAGGCTGCTATCACTGGTGCTTGGCTAACCCTTGGTGTGGATGTGGCAAGGCCTGCTCTCCCAGATAACAATCTGGTTTTGCAATTATTTGGCCCTATATGAACCAGCCTCTATATGCACCATCATTAGGAGTCGATAGAGGGGCCTAGCCACCAGCCAGTGGGAGAAGTAGGGGCAAGTGTCAGACTAAGTTGAGTGAAGGAAAGATGCCATCAGAGCACAGCCCAGAACCCACAAACTCTTCTATCATCTAACACCTGTTATTGGGCAGCGCCTGTGGCTCAAAAAGGTAGGGCACCGGCCCCATGTGCCAGAAGTGGCGAGTTCAAACCCAGCCCCGGCCAAAAACTGCAAAAAAATCAAATCAAAT